GTAGCTCCCAAAATAAGAAATTAAATGACTGAATTCCCATGAAGTTTCTTGACCCTAAATGTCTGTATTTTTGTCTAAAAAAGGAGCTATAATTATAGCTGAAGGCAGTTGATCTTCAGATCATTGAAAGCAGGGTGGTTATTCCTGGTTTCCTTTGACATAGAAATAAATTTGCAGTTGTAAAATGGGGAGCATCTGACTAACTAGTTTGTAATATGGGTCAGCAGTGTAAAAAAGTTCAGGTCCCGTTGCAGGATGTAGTAAGGTTATTAGCACTAGTGAGACCGTAGTGGAATATGTAGACTAGTTTCTGTAAACTGCTCTTTAACAGTAATACCAAAGATTAGAGAAAATCTGGAGCTGAGAGACAAACTGTTAAGTTTAGGAGAAGTGATCTGCACAGAAAGGTGGAAGAACTTGAGCTACTTTAGTCTTTTAAGACTGCCTATTAGCACTTTCAGTCTTTATAATCTTTTCATTCTCCCTGTCCTGTTGGTGGATCTCTCCTTTGACAGAATGACTCTTCGTGTTCCACAGTTCTCAAATGCTGCAGTTGCCTCAGAGTCCCCTTGATTATTTAGTGACACAGGCTCAAGAGGACTCAAGGGAGGATTGGAAATTAAAGGAAGGAATTTAAAGGTTGTTACTGAGGTAGTGCTGGAATAAGGGAACAATTGATGAATAGGCAGGTGAAAAAGATGGTGGTCTGCTTCATTTCTTGAAAAGTTCTGGAATACGAGGACAGGAATTAGATATTCTCAGTGGCTGTTAACAAGAAAATGGAAGAATTGCAAATTTTGAACAATTTCCACTTGTTAATGGATTAAAACCTTGTGAGAGGCTATCAAATGAACCTCCAGAATCCCTTTCTAAATGTTTTGAAAGCAGACTAAGTGATACAGCTTTTGGTAATGAATCAAGTACAAACAGACTAGCTCAGCTCCAAGACTTGACAGTCCTCTCTCCACCATTGTCAGAGGGACAGTCTGCACAGGATTCTGTGGCATACAGTATTGTATTCAACTTCAGTTATGAAAATTAAATGCTCATTAGTGCTGAAATAATTTTTCAAAGAGAACCTTTGTTGGAAATTCAAAAATATAGAACTTATTGGAGATCTAAAATATAATATGTAACCTCAGTGGAGGTAAAAGAACAGTTAAACATTATTTCTTGAAGAACTTCTATTTAATGTGTTTTATTTCTTAAAGTATGTTATATAATGTACATATATATGCATTTGTATGGTACATACATATATTATGAATTACTATGAAGTTCATTTTCTAATAGTAACTGTGTAAATGGCTAGTCAGAATTTTTTAAGCATGCTAGCCTAAATCCTTTCCTGTGTTCAATGTATCCAGGACTATTAAACGTATTGCCACTGTTCTTGAGCTTCACTTTGGTGTAAGCTGATAGTGCATATCAGCAGAGTATTACCGTGTGCTTTCTGTATTCTTCTGTTTTTTTCCCTAATTATTCACTACTGGATATTGTTGGAGACAATGGAGGCAGGGTAAGATGGTCCTTTCATATGGAGGGCTCTTGTTACGATTTGCTTATTTTTGACCATGACTCAGTTTATCTGTCTCTGTGGACCAGCATCTTCTGCTTCTATAATATTGGATAGTGGTATGTGTTTCCTGTGTTTTTATCCCAGGATTTGAAAATACTCTGTCAGCAGTACATTTTCAAATTTTTCTTTCCCCTTTCTGTAAATAATTTTTCATCTCGCAGAAGAGCTTGGTGCTCTGCTCATGGTTTGTTTTCCCTGCAGAACATCAGCCATCCTCTGAATTAAGAGAACCAGCCTCGATCTGACTACTGTAATGAAAGTGAAGATATTCCAGGTGTTTATTGTACAGGGTATATTACCTTCCAGGGATTTGCAATCAAATATGAGTGAGGCAACTCTGATTTACACTTTGATCTACACTTTGATTTTGGATGGACATCTTCACCAGTGAATACATTTTCCTCTGCAGATGTTATTTATATTGCTTATAATCTTGAACTGGCAGGCTGCTTGTTGTCTTGTTCCCTCCTGATCCTAGGCTGCAGTGTATTAGCTTTGTGTTTGTCTGCTGTGCCCCTGTTTGGTGGCTGGATTACATTCCCAGCAGCAGAAGCGAAAGAATAGTTTGCCAGAGATCTTGTTGGTGTAGTATTGATCCGTTTTATGCTCTTATCCTTAAAAATGGGACATGGTTAATATGCATAAGGCATAGTAATTATTTTTCAGTGTAGTAGTAGAGGGTGTTGGCAAGTTTACATTTAACAAACAAAGTACAGTCATTTAATTATTGTTTCAAGTTCAGTTTTAAAGAGGACCGATGTTGATTTTGTGAAAGTAACTTTTGTGGCTCTGTAGGTCATGATAGTTTTTTTGTTTATTTTCTTTAAGGAATTTTACTTTTCTTTGTGGAAGGAGACATGTTTTACGTATTACACTTGTAACAGAAGTGAAATATATGTTACCTCCTAATGTTTATAAATGAAAGATTTTACAATTAAACTGACTCAAGGATTATAATTAAGTGAATTTATTAAAATTAAAGTCTCCCTAAGCAGTGTTTTTGAAGGCATTGGAAATATTGATGTTTATTGCTGTGGCTTGGAAATAACATGGCTATGAGTTGATATCTCTTTAAATTACTACATATTTTTAATAATATAAAGCATGATTTCTGTTTGGAAATTGATGGTACAAAAATTATCTTCTGGTTTATTCCCTGTATTAACCAGAACTTACCTGTGGGCATCACTGTAACTGCCCTTTCTGCTCCTCTCCTGAAATTCATTGAGTAGGGAGAGCTGAATGCCAGCAACCATGACTGCTGCTGAACTAACACCCGTTTCAGTTTATGTTTAAATATTTAGGGTTCTACAGTGTAATTGTTCGGACAGTGCTGGTGGTCCTGTTTGTGTGGCCCTTTTGCAGGGGCAGCAAAGCACTGAGCGAAACAGCTGGGAAAAGCAACCACTTTGGCCATCCTGCTTGAATTGCGTGCTATTGTGCATTTTCATGTCCTTAATTAGTTACCAGCAAAATAGTGGGCACAATACTGAGTTAATGATAAAGCTTAAAAATTTAATTAATGTGGTTTTATTGAAAATAGGTCTTATTTAGAAAATTCTGACTTCATTTTTTGTGATTTATGTATTAGGTAGATAGAAGTAACTAGGAAGTCCTAATACTGTTGTAACTGTTACTGTTATGTACTGAAGTTGTAATATTGTACTGCACTCCACTTAGACATCATATAATTCTTACAAAAAGATTAGATTATACCATGTCATTAAAGCATACTCAGAAAGTAGTTGTAGGCAAAGAATCATGAAGTATCTGTTTCTTGTGGGTTTCTTTGAGACATGTTAGCCATCTCCAAGGTTATAATCATCTGCTGCAAATTAATTAAAATTATCACTGAATGAAGTTGTGGGATACATGGAGATTGGAGTAATAATGAGTAACAGGGAGAGTGAAACAGCCGGAGAGTGTGATCTGGATTGCTTAAGATAAACCTAAGCAAATAAACATGCAGAGGTGTGCAACACGATGTACGAGTCATGCTTACAGAATTAGAGACCGTTCTGACAAAAGTAGCTATTCTGGAAAGAAGTCAGTATTTATAATGAACAGGTTGCTTCAAATGAACTCACAGCATAATGATGTGGTAAGAAGGCTAATATGTGATGTTTGAGAAACTACAGTTAGGATTAGTAGGGACTTGATTTCATACGTGTGAAATACACAGATGTGTGTACTTGTATTTGTGGTGTAGGTGATAGCAGTGCTAGACAGTTAGAAACTTACATTTTTAGAACTGTTCATGAAATGGTGTTGAAAAATTATGCTATGGGTAAGTTCTCTGAAATGATTCCTGCACTTAATTTCTTAACAGCATCAAATTGCATACTTGTTTGGAGAGATATTTGATTACATAATGTAATTAATGACTGATACCGCTACCCTGTAAGAAATTAGCTTTTCTAAAGGCCTCTAACATACAGAAGAAAGTGTAACAAAAAGCAGTGGCTAAGCACTGAAACCAGACATATCCAAGCTGATGTTAACCCATGCGGTTTAACACTAGGGATGTTTTGGAGCAAGCTACCAAAGGAAGTAGTGCGTACTCTACGTTCTCATATTTTTCAGGCCAACAGTGGATAATATGCTGGAAAATGTGTTTTAGTCAAATAAAGGTTGCTGGACTTGATACAATCATGCTGGATAAAATTGAAAGGATCTGCGATATGATGGAAATGCAACTAGAAGATTTAATGATGTGCTCTTGCTTTATTTCTGTGAACCTGTAGGAAGAAATTCTGGTCAATATGTAGTGTGTTGTCACATATCTAGTGAATAAATTACTCATCTAATTTTTTTGTATACATAAATTCTGTGTCTGTCTTAAATAATACCAATATCCATGGCTTACCATCCATAGTAAGAATTATGTATTTTGCGGTGCGGCTGGGCATGCTGCTTGTGCTGGTAAAAGGACTGTTAAATTTGATTTTTAAGCAGTTCTATTGATTGAATCTTAATATGTTTGAATTAGTATATTGCTTTCATAAACAGTATATGCTGAAGGAGATTGCTTAATTGGTATTCTTGTTACTTTTAGTTTTGGGTGGATTTTAATGAACTCAGTTTTACCAAAGGCAGTGTACGCCTCAGCAAGTGTGCCTTAGCCTTTGCCTGAAGTAGTTGCAGTGTATTGAAATCCTGTGCTTCATATATTCACATTATTGTAATGTTATTGCATCATGAATATGCATCAACCTGATGTTTTCACCTGCAGAGTACTTACTACTAAAAGTCTTCTATGCTATTCCATGTAGATCAGTGAGTACTGTTTTATATGCTTTGGGAATTAAGAAAATTGTAATACCTAATGCATCTTTAAAAAAAAAACCAACTACCTGTTTTTTATGTTGAAGTGTATACACGAAACTCATATTTATTTGTTTTAATATTGTTTGCTTTTTAGTGAGAGGTTTATGGTGAGGTTAAACAAGAATGGAGGCCCCAGGAATCCAGAGAAGATAGACCGAATGTGTGCACTTTTCACGGTACGTGTCTGTTCCCTTTCTTCTTCCCTTACAATAGTACGATTGTAGATGTGGTCACCCTGCGGGAAAAAAAACCCAATTCTTCCTTTCCAGTATACTGAGTAGAACGGAAGCTGTTTCTAAGTTTTGTTATGGTTACAACTAAATGTTAACATAAGAAAATGAATGTACTTCTAAATTATTTTTATATCTAGGTAAATATTCTGAAGTACTTCCTTTTAGGTGTATTTTTTCCTGCTTATAGTTTGAAATTTTGAATATTTTCATTGCATGTACTATGCTCTTAGATAATAGGGCACAGGAAAAAGCTGTGTTGACCTGAACATAAATTGAGGCACTGTTTTCCGAATCAAAGTTAGAAAAAATAACTGCAACATCATAAACACACACAGAAAACAAGAAAATTCTCCAAACCTATTTTTGTCATAGCCCATTGAAGAGTCCATGTAGCAGCTCCAGGTCCGTGGTGCAGCAGTAGGCTCGCATGTCGGCAGTGCAGGGTGTGTGATGGAACAGAACGACTGTGATGTGCTGCAGAAGCAGCAGCCAAGTTGAGCTCCAGCGAGTTGGTTGTGATAAAGGAAACACTGTGACTTCCTAAGCTTCTACAGCAGGTCTGTGTGAATAGCTACCCCGTCCTGACGCAAAGCAGATACGACCAACTGTACCAGCAGTCTTTAACCACCTGTACCAGAATGACAGGAGAAGTAATACCCATCTGTGGCACCTACCAGATGATACCTCAGCTGGGAGTGAAAAAGCCAGATAGGATTTACCTCCTTTTAATAATTCTTGAGACTCACCTCTCACTTCACTGCCTTCTTGTTTTGTAGTTTTGGTTATGCCAAAATAGTAGTTTCAAAACACTTTAATACACATTTTAATATCCATTCCGCACTGATCTTAAGTTCAGTTAAAAATTGCCTCAGAATCATGTGTCAGACCATGGTGTTATCTGTCAATTCTTCTCCAAAAGAATATGAAAATGTAGAGACACTGAAACTTAACAGCTCATCATAGAATGACTGTAAGGAATTTCAGATCCAAAGTGTGATAAACACTTTCCATCGTGACTCACCTTTAGCTACTGTGCATGCTGGAAGCTCTTTGACAGGAGTATTTTTACCTCCAGTGAAGAAAAAAGATGGCAGACAGCTTTGGTATAAGCTTTACTTCTGGCAGTGAAACCTCTGAGGTCAAGCAGGGCTGGACACTGAAATAGGCATGGTTCCCAGTACCATTCCCTTTTCTCCTTTAAGAAGATAGCTGAATTTCTGCTCTTAGGGAACAGAGCATGTCTAGCCAGATGTAAGGATGTTCAGTTCTGCCTCCATCTCTGTATAGGAGCTGCAGGTCAGTCACTGAAGTTGCAAAGGACTGACATCCATAGCAGTTCTGATTTTGGTACCATCGCTGAAGTGCTGCCAGCTGGTTAAACATCAGCAGAGGTAACAGTGTCTTCGTGTTGCCATTGACCCTGATGATTCCACTGCTGGTAACTCAAAACCAAGTATCTTTATCTTCCAAGAGAAAGGTAGCCAGGCAGCAAGTCTCGGCACTGGTGTCTGAATCAGGCAGAAAGGTTGAGTGTAGGATTAAGCATTGCTCTAAGGATTACTCCCAAAAGGCAGCACAGACTGGTTCGTATCAAGTTTGGCACTTTCTAGCCTCTGAGGTTTATCATTCTTAAAAAAGACTTTCACCATCAAACTTCCCCATCTGCACAGATGCCACACTACTGAAGGTCATGCAAGATCTGTCCTGTTTCATACTGTGTTGTGAATGGTCTGAAACAGTTTTGCTTCAGTGACCTGCAAACCAGTTTTTACACGGTTTCAGAAATACAAGAAGAGCAATGGTATGCTACAGCCAGGGGCGTGATGTAGTTCTAGAAGAGACCAGCTGCGTATTATGAATGGGGCCAGCCTAGTCTAAAAGAGACCGGCCCCGAGTATTGCAGCCGTGTGCCGCTCTATAGCACCTGTCCTTCTGATCAGAGATCGCTCCCAAGATACCTTTCTATTTAACTATACAAAAATATCTAAGCTGGCTCAGTAGCAGTTCTCAGAGGTGCTTAGACTTCATGACTGTCACTGTCTCTGGTAGAATGTGTAGTCTACATATAACAGGAATTATGATAATTGGGAAAATCATCTGTGCAATAAATTGCACGCTTCTGATACAATATTTTTCATCAGTGTTTTCAAAGAACTTTCCAAATTATGTAGCAAAGGAGCAACAAATAGTAGCTTTTTGAATAACTATTTTATCTGCAGTGGTTGTATCTTATCAGAATTTCTTAATTGTGAAATGCTTCCAAAATAAGATAGTTTTATGACTTTGAGGTTTGTTCCCAAGTTTGTTTTAGTCTTGACTTTACACCTATTTGTTTATTTACTTGCCCTTCCCCTCCACTCTGCAGTATTTTTCTAAAACTCTAATCTTTCCCAGAGGCAAGAAGCCCCATGTCTTAGATAATTCAAGCTATCCCTGTCTTTCTGCTATGTCTATTGCTTCTAGGCATTCACCTGTCTCCTCGTGTAAGATATCAAAATTACTTAGGTTTTGGTTTTAGATCTGCTGTCATATCATACCAAAGGTGAGAAACTGCTTCCTCTGAAGAGTAAAGCTCACTCAAGCAAACCTCAACCTATGCACACTTTAGAAACATTCCTGTGTCTGAATTAAAACATGACTACACGGTATAAGCTTGCTATTTTTGTTAAATACCTTACAGTCTGTGGCCTACGAGGCTGGCAACTGAATTTGGTAAAGCTATTTAAATAATTAATTAGTGGCAGTCAGGTATCCCTGATTCTGCTGTTTTGGGGGTGATGGTTAGGTTTTTTAACATACAGTTAGACCTTTATAGAAACCAGTGTTGATTCCCATAGCTAGTATGGGGGGGGAAAAAGTAGGGGTGATTTTCTAAAAAGCTGTGCAATTAGTATTATTATGAAATTACCTTGTTTATCAAGCAGTATCACTGAAGAAGCTCAGAAAGATGAGAGAAATAAACCCCCTGTGGATGCAGTGCTAAGAACACCTTTCTGGACATTGATCTATTTACACTGCGCACAAGCAAATAAGAAATGTAGTTTGTCCTCTCCTGGGTCCTAAGTCATATGCATGGGTTCTCTGCAATTAGATTATCTGAAGACTTCCTCACAGGGCTTGGTGTTTTTGGTTGTTTGGTCCATATGATAGTAAGAATATCTCCTCTTGTAAAAAGCCTCAGCTGTACAAAATGAAATACAAGGCCATCTGGGCCCACATTTTTTGTCTTTTGACTGTGACACAGTATATTTTTTGTGAAATTGAAATGCGACTAAAGTGTGAACCCATCAATATGTGCGTGCCCTACCATTTTCTGATATCTTGACAGCTGCCCTTTGAAAAAACAGTTCTCTAAATTGCTGTTAATTAGAACTGGTAAACTGATAGTATAATAAAATTCCCCCTGTCAAATCACAGATATTTTAAAAAATCTATAACTCTCTAGAGTATTAAGCGCTACCTACAAGTTTTTTGCTTTTTGGAATGTATTGTCAGGCACTACTGAGACTGGAACTATGTCAAAGCCCTTCTTATCGTGGAACTTCAGTTTCTCCAAGACTTGCGAGATAAAGCCTGCCATACGCTACACTGGTATTTTAGGTGATGAGGAAAGCCTAGAAAGTATGTTCCCTTATTCATGCAGCAGCAAAATAAGACTTGAGGAGAAAACGCTAAGGAAGATTTATATAGCTTAATTCTTTGGCTTCGGAGAGACATGATCTGCTAGCTGGTAAGCATACCAAACAGCATATTTGCAACTCACTGCATATGCTGCCCAGGGAAATACAGTGCTCCTTTTAAATGGAGTAACAAGATACAGCCATGAATTTGTTACTTCCCTCCTGTAGTTTAGCAATGTAATGCTGTCTTAAAGGGACTGAAACTTCTCCTTAGAATAAATTCCTTTTATGCCTAGTTCTCAGTTACTGCCCAGATTTTATTGTGCTGTATGTCACTGTAATCTGAAGTTCAGTGTTTATGTGCATTGCCATCATAATCTCAGTTGCTGAGATTTGGTTTCTCAAGTCATGCAGAAAAGAAATTTCCTGTGTGTATTAAAGTTCATATTTTAGCTTTCAGCAAAATACATTTTTTTTAATTTACTGAATTGGTTCAGGAATGACAGAACTTAGATGTCCACAGTTTAAAATTTCCTCCCCCCTTTATATAACATTTGCATTATATCCTTCTACAGTGTTTTTAATACCACCTAGTTGTGGTTTTTTCAAAAAGAAAAGCTCAAGATTTTGTCTGAATTTGATATTTTTCCAGCTGATTTTTGCATTGTTTTTTAAAAAACAGTGTAGTGTTAGAAGACCAAGCTACATTTGTGTGTAGACAAATCCGCCAGTGTTGTTCTCCCCGCACAACTGCATGTATTAGAAGTGGCTATTACCACTGGGTTGGATACCTTTCTTCAATTGAAAAGGAAGAGAAAAAAAAAGGGAAGAAACATGAACACATAGCTACCATCTCAAGTTGTTTGCAAAGTTATATATAAAGCCCTAGAGCTGTTTTCAAAAAGCCCTATGTCGAAAGCATTTCGTACAAAGAAATAAAAAAAATTGTTTTAAAATTGTGAGGTGGTGTCCATTGGCTCAGTGTAGGGGAGAAGTGAACAGTAACTGAGCTTCGAACCTTCTTTCTGAGGTCTTCTCTTTCACATGCGCACACACACGTCACTCCCTCACATTCTTAGGAAGAGTACATTAATAAGATGATAGCACTTACCAGAGTGGAGAGAGAGAAAGAGGCAACAGCTGTTGCTGTAGAGCAGAAGAAGCCTTTTTGCATCAGGGTCTAAAACATGAGAGAATATTCTCACCATATGTGTCGTGTTTAAAATCTTCTTGTCTTGGAGGTTAGTAATATGAGGAGGACGTGTTGAACAATGCTGATATTTTCAGGAAGAAATGTTTCGTAGGTATTTCCTCTAATTAAAAAAAAAGGGGGAGAGGAGAATGTCTTAGAAGTTGATCTATGTTTATAATGTTATTTGAAAAAAACACAACATGCCAAGGAAATTGCAATTAAGACAGCTTCTAACATGTGATGCAAAATTCTGTAGTAGTTAATTATTGATAAGTACTCTATGCATATTTTCTTAATTTATTATCTGTAATATTAAAGATTTGTCAGGGTCTCTAATACCTTTTTGTCTTCATCAGCTTCAGCTTTCCTTTTGCTCTTCTGAAGGTTCTCCTTCTCCCATTTTTTAGCTTTTCTTCAAGCTCGGTTTTAAAAGTTTTGACCTGCTATTCTGTGACATGGAATGTCAGAGTTTTCTTTCGTGTATATGGTTGCTTGCCGTAAAAATAACTTTCAGGAGATCTTAAGGTCCTGTGTTTTGCTAAGCAATTACCGCATCTTTAAAACTAGTTTTTCCAATACCCTGTCACTGTTTTGAACGTACTAAATAGAAGAGTGACCATCCATATCACTAAACTGATAGAATGGCTTTAGCCGGATGTGGCCCTTTCTAACTACCATGCTTCCCAAATAACCCATTGGCATGTTTCAGCAGTTGGAAAGGGGCAGAAGGCATTTCCAGTCAGCAGTTTGCATGCAGCCTACCCTGCTTTGGGACTGTGAAGGAGGTTAGCTATGAACTAGCTGCCCTTGGCTCCCACCAACTCATACGGATAAAGCCTGTCGATTCTGTGCATGGTTGCGATGCTGCCTTGCTGCTTTCATGAAGTAATGAACATACATCGTATGAAACAGGATTGCAGCTGCACGTTCAAAAGCATTAAAATAAACCATATCTCTGAGTCTTCTACCTTTCTTCCTCTTCAGATTTTGCGTGTTCTGAGGAATTGCACCTCTCCATTTGTAAAATAAAACATGCTTGAAGTTTTATCTAAATTCTGACAGTCCTGCTGCAAATTTTTGCTAGAGCCATCCTGTGAGGCTAGGACTGCACAATGAGAAGTCAAAAGCCACAAAAGGAAAGCAGAAGCAAAGGAACGGGGTTAGGGACAGATCTGGGATCTGCGGTCGGGGAGTGGGGTGAAGGAAGCCAGAATGGATTACAGCTGAGGGCAACGCAGGGATTTAAATTTACTTTGTAAATTTAATACAGTTTAATAAGGTGTTTGAATTAAGGATTAAATGAACACCTTAAATGTTTGCTAGAGTTTTGATACAGCATCACTAGTCACTGGAGTCAGAATCTTTCATTTCTTTTCCTTCTAAACAACATCCCAACCAAATATAATCCTACTATGTTTCATTTTTCTTGTCTGTAAATTAGAAATAATAATACTTTCTCTTACTTAAAGATGCAGGAGCTAAATGAATGGAGAGTAGTACTGCGTGGTTCTTATTATTGCTCATGAGATTTTTGCAGGCACTTATTTTGGAAGTGCAGTGTTCTTTTTTTTAATGTCTATATTTTTTCCAATCTTACAGGATCTCAGCAGCAAGGACATGAAGAGAGATTTGTACATAGTTGCCCATGTAATTCGAATAGGTACAGTATGATTTATTACTTGAATAATACGCAATTAACAATGTTTTTACAATATTTTAAAATGTATGTTTTACTTAACTGACATGATAATACTTTAACCAGTTAGAAAACTCATAGACCACGCACATCTGCTGAGATTAATATTCAGACCATATGTAGCTAAGTGTTAAAAGGTTACTGATGACTGTTTAACAGGGACTTTTTTTTTCTCAGTCTGAAACAAAATATTTGATTAAACACCACATTTGGGGGAGGAAAGAGGAACTAAAAGGCTGTTTGTTTAATGTCCCAAAATTTCAAATGAGGTCTTTTTACTGATGATATATAGCCAGTTTACAGGGCAGGACATCAGCATACTTGGCTGTTCTCATCTACTAAGTCAGAGGCTGTTAGATATATATAGAGATCTGTTTTCCACTGTAGGAGTTTGCAGTGCTTCCAAGAACCCACATATGAGTTTGGGGAGATGCTTTTAAAACATAAGAGCCGGGAAGCTGTCACACCTGTCAGATGTTCTTTCTACCTGCTGACACTGAAAAGGAGTGTTAGCAGCAGTACCTGTCTGCTGGAAGCCTGTGAAGCTTGCAGTCCACCACTTAGCAGCAAGCATTTGCGTCTTTCCAGGTTCTCCTGGCTGCTTGCCTAGAGCTATCCAAAGGAGAGATCTGGATGCGCAGTACGTAGACCTGACCCTACCCAAGGAAGAAAGCCGTTCCTTGCTAGTTTGCTTCAGTAGTCACATTTTATAACATGGATTTCTCTGACTGTTCATAGGCCAGGCTAGGCTTCATTTATTCTTTTTGAGATTTGCGATAGCAAGAATGCAATTTATGATTGAAATTAGAATGTGTCTTATACAGTATAGTGTAGTGCTTGAAGTAGTTCACAGACAGCTAGATGAGTTTTTAAGCCTAGCAGTGTGTTTAAGTGAAATGACTACTTGATTTCTGGTATGTGAATTAAATTTCTAGAATCTCTTTTAGATGGAAGGTGTTGGATAGAAGAAAAGCTCTAGTTAAAAAGAATCATAGAATCATAGATTGGAAAAGACCTCTCAGATCATCAAGTCCAACCGTCACCCCAACACCACCATGCCTGCTAAACCATATCCTGAAGTGCCACATCTGCACATT